ATCTGCGATGACGTGCATTCGCTCTCAAAGGAAATGATGAGTCCATGCGAGTACTCCAGATTTCGTAATGAAACGGAGGGGGTCTGGACCCTCCAAGACAAGCCATTTCAGACCTCCCCCGTGGGAGAACCCTCCAAAACATCGTCCCCAGACCCCCCAGGCCCTCCAAGATAGCCTGGAAGAGACCCCCCCCGAAATGAGACCCCCTCCCTTTTATTACTAAATCTGGAGTACGCTTCCTGACAGGCTCGTTCAGTTCGTTGGCCGCTCCGACGGCTCATTGGTCAGTAACGTGAGTTTTCAAGGCACCACCATCCACCGTCCGAGAGAAATCTGACTTGTCCCAGAAATCGCTGATTTGTTGTCCTTGTTCATGAACCGTTTGGTGGGTGCCCGACCCAATCTTTCCAGCTGAAGAGACTTCGGATCCTTGTGTCTGCTCGCTATGGACCATGGTATGCATTTAGGTGCTCAGTGTGTGACTGATATCTTGCATGACCGCCGACATCGATGTAAAGCATGTTGGTGATGCACATTCGCCATATGCCATCCATGTCTGCAAGCAATCGGAAATCCAGCAAGCAGGCCCTGAACGCCGATAACTGAGGCACCTACTGCCGGACATACGCTCCTGCATGCCAATCTTGGCGATGCCCATGTGCTTCAGCCACCTTTCACAGCTTTCGGGCGTCACGATAGGCATCTGCGTCTCGAAGTAGAACTACTCTGGCATGGCTCGGTATACTCCGTCAAGATATTTTTGCGTGCCATCGTTGAGGTCCTCCTTCCAGACGTTGGTGCCATTCCACTTCGTTGTCTTGACGGCTCTCCATCTCTGGCAGCAGGTTTTGCAGGTCATCTGCTCGCCCTGGTAGGTGGTGTTGAGGCCGTGCTTGCTCGGGTTGGTGTCTGGTGAGCCGGATCTCAGTCGCGTTCCGCCCTCTGAGGTTTGAGCTGCTGCATCGCCGTCCATACCAGCCACCAACGCCACGCCAGCAGGAGCTTGAGACGCCGTCTCCATCTTCCAGCTATGCGATCCGCTGTGCGAGTCAGGCCCGCTGGCTTTCCGCCAGTGGTGCCGTCTCCGTCTTCCCGCTGCTCTTCACGCCGTGCGAGTCAGGTACATTGGGTGCTCGTACGCTGCTGCTGGCTCGGCTCATCATTCCGAGACTGAGTGAAGCGAGAAGCTTCCGTACTCGTCGTAGTCTGTTTGATATAAGCACTATCCAGGATCATGCCCATGCATGCTTTCACTGCTTGCCGAAGACGGTCTCGCTCCTTTCCTGTGCCGGCGCTCGGGTCATCGATCGGCAGGATGTAGTATCCAGATTCTGTGTAGAGAGCCCGCATGAAGACAGCAGGTCGAAGCTTGTTGCCAAGACCGTCCAGGCAGTTGATGATGAACACTCCATCCTTGTTCGGCCATCTTACAGCGAGAAGGCCCATCGTGTTGTCATCATGCTCTCCAGCGGCATTAGGAGTGGACATCTGCTTCCGGTGCCGCCCAGCATGCCCATCGTGAAACTGCTGTCCGGAAATACCTCCAAGTTCAGAGGAAGCTTCCCAAGTCCAAGGGATGGATTGACAAATCCATCAATACCTAAGAGCCTCGCCGCTGACCACTCGGCCAGAGCGGGGCTGCACAATCTTCACGAAGTGTGCCTGTACCTGCGAGGCTCTTGGTGGCCCCTGGGTCTATGAGAAGTCCAAGGCGCCGTTCACCTCGGACCGTGTGATATGCGAATGGCTTGCCATCACTGTTGCTTCCATCGTCTTCCGTGAAGGGATATGCAAAATTCTGGAGGAGAAAAAACACACAGACACAATGAATCGTGGATTCCCAGGAGATATGGGAAAATATGGGAAGTGGGGGGGGAAGGCGAAAACCCAGAAAATATGGGAAAAGATGGGGAATCCTGTTACATGTGTGAATTCATTTGTGTGTCCCTGGGCCCCTTCAAAAATGCCCGAGGAGGATCCCCTCGGAGGGGAGCCTGTCGGTCGCGCTGAAGTCTTGGTCGCTTCCGGCGATCTGGGCTCGAGTTTACCCGAGTTTGCTCGTCCTCTGTTTCCGTTGACGTTGATGGTTGTGCTGGCCGCGATTCGGAAACTGGAACGTATACATAACCAGTGACGGGCTGTTTTTCAATCCCAGGATTTCTTGAGGGTCGAGGATGACGCTGGGGTGGTGTGGTGTATATTTTTTTCCCCGATGTCCTGGGAAACAACGAAACATGTATACACCAGGGTCCCGTATACACCAGGATCCGCTCTCCAGTGCAAATTCTGATGCAGGGCCAGAAGAAGCGTCGGTGTATAGAGTTCGATTCGCTAGCAATGGAAAGTCGAACCTCCTTGTCGCCGACTGTGACCCAAGCTTCGTCCTGGGCTAAGCTGCCGACTCGGTCCGGAGGTATGTCTCGACGTCGAACGGGTCGTCGCTCATCATCTCCTTCGGCACCTCTGGAGTCGTACCTGAGAGTGAGGCCTCGTGTGTCAGCGGTCCTCTTTCATGACGATCATCCTGCTGATGTCCTCTCTTGTGTCCCTTCGTGGATCCTTTCCGAACACGCCGGTATGGATATTCATAATTCTACTCGTCATCCTCTTGATCTGCATCAATGTCCTGTTGATCGTTGTTGTCCGTCTTGTAAGACGAACATAACTGGTAGTACCCAAGTCACCACGACCTTCTTCGTGTGTCTGCAGCGGCGATGTGAGTACATGAGGCAACTGTGGCATATCCCATGATCCTGTACTCGACGATGCCGATGATGGAGGTGCCTCTCGCCTCGGTAGGTCCACGTGGGTGTGCAAGTTGAGTATGATGTCCTCCCATTTGGTCGTCGATCCAGATACCGTCGCGAAACTATGACCGCTCGGCTTCTGTCCTCTACCTTGTTGTGGCTGCCTTTTGTTGGCTGGGCAGTCCAGGCTCTTGTGCCACTTGGAGACACATGTACTGCAGCCACTGTCGCCACCAGACTTCTTGCCTTTCGTGTTCGTCTTGCCGCTTGACTTGCCGCCCCAGTGTGATTGCTGCTCGTCGTCGTAGTTGTTGCTGCTTCATTTTCCTTTCCCGCGTCCTTCTCTACTTCGACCGCGTCCTGTCCATTGTTCAAGTCCTTTGCTCTTGCCATTGCCTTTCCATCGATAGTTGCCGCCGAATCTGAAACGAGGTCGAAAGCCCGTTATCTGATATGCATGTTCCAGCTCCTGATCATCAGGCCATGCTTTGATATGATCTGCCTCGTACCAGTTGCCGTCGGCGTCGTAAGCTCCATCACTCTGTTCTCAATTCGCCGCCCAATACTCTCGATAGTGGAAGTCGCTCTCCTCATCACAGGTCCAACATATCAAATCTTCTCCATAGTAGTCGTAGTCGTAGTCGTAGACGTCGTCCTCATCTGCATAGTGATGTCCAGTCTGTGCTGCCTGCATTAATATCCTGCGTGGCGATCCGCGTGAGCATTGAGTAGGCTGTCTGACATTTCTCGAGAGCTCTTCGATGTGCCGCTGTATGTCTGACATGCGTCTGGACGGCACTCCATTATGTTTGAATAACAAATTCGTGAGTCCAACACTGCTGATGGTTAAGTCTGTCTTCTCGTTCACCTCAGTACATCGTATTCGGAATTTTAGGAGGTACTCCTTCAGTGTCTGATTACCGCGACTGGTGTACAGGAAACTGTCGACACCATCTCCTTGCTTGTTTTGATCATGTGCTTGAAGCGCTTCGGTCAACTTCTGCATCACATGTCCAGCTCCAGATATGCCTGTTTCCTGAATGCTGACTCCTGCTGCATCTCATTCCTCTTCAACTCGCGCTAGGGACAGTGCTGCGTCTCCTTTTATACTTCTGTCCGTCTCTCGTGACCTCCCGGCTCATGACAGTGGTGACCGCTCGGTCCAGCAATTTGGATATGCCATGATCGGTCCTGCGTCTCGTGCATCGAGCGGCGCCAGCCGCCACCACAGGTGTAATCTCTGCACGTGGGCCTTGACAGGGTATGCGCCATCGTACATTCCCCCCGTCTAGTAAGGATGCTCGGTAAGGATGCATGGGCTTTGGACGCCCATTTCGAAGCTTTTCGCGCGGGATGCGGCCAACGAAAGTGGCTAAGGACGTACCGAGGAGGCAAGGATACAAGGGCATTCTTGGGAAGGTTGTCCATCCTTACTATGCGGGTTGACTGTAGGGACTCCATCCTGGCGGTACATATCGTGTGAACTCCTGCAGACTCTCAGGGCTTTTGTAATCAGCCGCGCTTCCAACAATCAGGCAGTACAGCATGTGTGTGAAGAGTCCGAGAACTGTGGGCCCGACAAACCTCCGGGCTTGGCGAAGACGTCGTTCTCCGCGGAAACCTCGAGAGCAAGGCCGTTCACGAACTGAGGGGGGCTGATGCTCACCTCCGCGTGGAAGGTGCTGACCTTCGCCAGGAAGGTGTCGGCGGAGTGCTGCGCCGGCAGTGCGTGGCCGAGGACCGCGCTGCTCGGACATCGGCGCCTGGCGGCGCCGGGCGCGCGGAGGGTCCGCGCGAGAGGTATTGGAGCCGTGGATCCCGTTGCCTAATCGAACTGTTTGCTGCGCAATACCCTGAGCCTTAAGTCGGGCCTGTCCCTCTACAGAAGGAAATTTCAAAAACAGCCAAAACATAGTCTGGGGTCGATTTTTTCAGCATTTTTTGGCCATTATTGCATATATTCTGACTATTTATAATTTTTCCTCGAAGATCCTCATGTAGAGGGACAGGCCCGACTTAACCTGAGCCCTGATATGATACGTCGGTCTCTGTCATCACTGTCCGGTTGCTGCGCTGCTTTGTACATTTCGCTGCCTCTGAACTGCTGCTGCACCTGATCTCAGCCAAGGTTCCAGACGGCATCAGACATCTCGCTGAGGGGAGGAAGGGAACTGGGGGAACATGGGGGGAAGTGGTGGAGGTGGGGCGGGCGGGGGTGTAGGGGAGAGGCAGCTTCTGCGGAACCTCCCCGAGGCGGGGCACCTGGCGGGCTGGCGGCTCGCGGACGAGAGGCGGGCGGTGCCGTGCCTCGAGGCGGACATGAAGGAGAAGCGCGCCAAGGAGCTCGAGAAGCACGCGACCGACTTCCTGCGCTTCGTCACCCCCGCCTCTTAGGGCCGTGGGGTGCCGCGCGTGCCCCGAGGGCGTGGCCGGCTGGCCGCCACGAGCCAGACGGGGGCTCGGAGGTCCTCGGCCATCTCTGTCGGCCTCTCTCGGGGCTCTCGCCCGGCCGTCGGGCCCCCACAAGTTTTGGCCAGGGTAAGGAAGTCAGGAGGGGACAAAGACACGCAGACACAATGAAGCGTCGATTCCCCAGAAAACACGGGAAACTATGGGAAGCGGGGGGGGGCAGACAAAGACCCAGAAAATAGGGGAAAATGTGGGGGATCCTGTTATCTGTGTCTGCTTACTTGTGTGTCCCAGGGCCCCGTCACCGTCATAAACAAAGATAGGGGAACATAGGGGAACATATTGGGAGTCCTGTTGTTTGTGTGTGCTTACTTGTGCGGTCCCCAGGGCCCCTGCATAAAAAACGCCTTCCCCGTGGGGAAGCCCTGCGTGGTTCCAGGCCTCGGCTCCCTCGGCGCCCCTCTGTGGCTCGCGGCAGACGGCCGGGGGTCGCGGCCGCCTCGTCGGATGTCTGGAGGGGGCAGCATGGAGTCGGGCCTGTCCCTCTGCAGTCGGAGGTGGATAGGCCAGGGCCAGGCGCCTTCCTCGATGTGGTGGCGCATCTCTCGCCAGGAGGCGGCAGGAAGCCGGCCCCATGAAGCCGATGCGTTGATAATTCCTGTCCCGCCTCCCCCTCTCGCCCGGCCCGAGAGGAGCAGGAGGAGGAGGTTGATAGACCTCCTACCCTGACACGTCGATTCAGGAATTGGCCGTTTTCGGTCCGCGGGGGGGCGTCGCGGCCGTCGTTTTTGCGGGTCCAGGGCTGTCGGTTTCGGTCCCAGGCCGTTTTCACTAAGGGGAGGTTTACTAAAGGGAGGTTCCGCCGCCGATACAGGGGGAATATTCAAGAATAGTTGAAGAATTAGTCTGGGGACTATTTTTTTTTTTTTTTTTTTAGTATTTCTGGCCATCGTTTGGGCATTGTTTGCGTATGTTTCATTTTTCGTCCACAATCCCCCTGTAGGGGGACAGGCCCGACCTGAGGGTAGCAGGTGCGATGGCCGAACTGTCACGCAGCCCGATGCACTGTGGCGCTCAGTGCCAATCCTTGCCGCATCCTAGCTGAATTTGCTGGTGGCTGCTCCGGAGTGAAATCCTCTCGCTCCTCCATTTGTCCCTCCGTGGTGTGCCCGTGCCAGTTCAGGGCTGCAGGAGGCCGCCAAGAGTGCCGAAGAGGGCCCCCCCGAGGGCCCCAAGCAGGCCCTAAGACTTGCCAAACCGCCCAAGGCGGCCCATGATGGCCCCAGAACGGCCCAAGATGGCCCAAAGACTAGGAAAAAGAGCCCAGAGGACCCCCCCGGGACAGACCAATGCCGGACGCACCTTTGACGCCAAGTCTCCCAAGAGCACCACGTGATTGGACAGCTCTCTATACATGAGTCGGTTACTTACAACGCTTTGAACGCCGAGGGTCCCAAGAGCGAACGGTGACGTGAACAGCTCTTAGCGTCAAGGCTCCGAAGAGCGAACGGTGACGCAAGCAGCTCTTAATTCCCAGGCTCCCCAAGCGAGCGGTCACGCAAACAGCTCTTCACACCTAGGCTCCCTAGAGCGATGAGTGACGTAAAAAACTCGAGCAAACGATGACGTGAAACAACTCTTCACAGCAAGGCTTCAGAAAGCGAGTGGTGATGTGAAACAGCTCTTATCAGGAGGAGAAAAAACACACACACACACACGGACACGATTAATCGTTAATTCCAGGGAAATATTGGAAAATATGCGAAGTGGTGGGGAAAACGAGGACCCACTAAATATGGGAGAAGATGAGGAATCCTGGGATTTGTGTCTATTTATTTATGTCCTTGGGCCCCTTTATCTTAACGCCAACGCCACTGGTGCCATGAGCTCTCTCGGGCAAGTTCCGAAACGCTCTTTCCGTTCCCGGGCCGGACGCGCCCCACTCTGAGGCTGGGACGGTGGTGGAGAGTTTCTCCCAAGGGCTTAGGCGACCCGTTCTCCTCCTCCTCCTACTCTTCCTCCTCCTCCTCCTCCCTCCTCCTCCTCCTCTTCCATCTCCCCCTCCTCCTTCTCCTCCTCTCCCTCCCCCTCCCCCTCCACCTTCTCCTCCTCCTCCTCCTCGGGTCGCCTACGGCCCTGGGGGAAACTGTGCAGTGGTGGCTATTACAAAGTATCCGGTTGGAGTCAGCACTGGACGGTATTCCATGTACCCACTACAGAACAATCAATCGAAACAGGTCGATGCCTACTCGTTAGTTTATGTTAGTTGTTGCTCTCACTGAACATCTTGCCTGCTCCCTATTGAGCGGACACTGGGCAGGCACGCGGTCGCATTTGTGAAAGTACAGCTGCTACGCACACGGATACCTAGCCGCAGCATGCGCAGCAGCAAATGGCGCAGTTGTAGCCACGAACGCGCCACGACGGGAACTGGATACACGAGAGTGAGTGCAGGTAGCAGATCAACAAATGCGGACGGGGGAGTCGATTCCAGCAACGGTGTGCAACCTACACGCCCACACATCCACACGTTCATGCATGCATGTCTGTCTGTCTGTCTGTCTGTCTGTCTGTATGTATGTATGTATGCAATGGATGTATGCAATGCAATGTATGTATGCATGCATGCATGCATGTATGCCTGCATGTATTCATGTATATATGCTTGCATGTATGTATGTATGTATGTATGCATGTATGCATGCATTCATGTATGTCTGTATGTATGTTTGTATGTGTCCATGCATGTATATATGTATGTATGTATGTATGTATGTATGTATGTATGTATGTATGTATGTATGTATGTATGTATGTATGTATGTATGTATGTATGTATGTATGTATGTATGTATGTATGTATGTGTGTGTTTGTATGTATGTACGTATGTATGTATGTATGTATGTATGTATGTATGTATGTATGTATGTATGTATGTATTTATGTATGCATGCATGCATGCATGCATGCATGCATGCATGCATGTATGTATGTATGTATGTATGTATGTATGTATGTAGGCATGTATGCAGGCATGTATGTATGTATGTATGTATGTATGTATGTATGTATGTATGTATGTATGTATGTATGTATGTATCTATGTATCTATGTATCTATGCATGCATGCATGCATGAATGCATGTATGTATCTATGTGCATAGTTGTACACATGGTTGCACACACATATACTTATGTATATGCATATTTACACATATATATATATATATCGACGCATCTATAGTATACATGGGGTTGTCTTGGGGAAGGAGGAGCGGGGGAGGAAGGAAAAGGTGGAGGAGGCTGCGGAGGAGCCTGCGGCGACATGAGCGCGCGGCGCCGGTCCAGGACGCCCCGTGGCCGCTTCCTCCACTGCCTCTCCTCTCTTCCGTGGCCGCGTCGGCTCCGGCCTTCTGGGCTCGGGAGCGCCCGTCGGCCAGGCGCTGCCATGTGGCGGGCAGACCTGGAAGCCGCGCGAGGTCGGTATCGTTTAACCGATCCCCATCCATCAGGCGATCGCAAACATGGAGTAAGGGTGCGTGGATTAGCGACGGGTCCCGTTTCCATGGGAAATCGCCGATCTTCGCCGCCGAGTGAGGCGGCGCCGGCTGCATTTTCGGGAGGGCACCTCCACCAACCCATGGATTTGGCAACCGCGCGCCAAATCCATGGATCGCTAATCCATGTGTGCGCGCCCCCGAATCCAGACGCCCCGCATCCTTGCACCCCAGTTGGGGACACACACCTCGAAACCCGAAGGGAACGGCCTATTATCGGGTCAATCGGCCAATGGGGCCCATGCCACGTTCATGGGGATACAGTGAACGGCTTGAATAAGGAACCTTTCCTTTTCAAAAGGGGCTCGGTCGTTGCTCGTTCCCTTAGGTTTGCATGCGTTGCTTATCGTTCCTTCTATGCGTCGTCTATGACTTAGCGCTCCTTGTGCGTTCTTTCTTCGAAAAAAGGGGCTCGTCCCTTTTTTATCGTTCCTTAGGTCAGGGGCCGTTCCTTATTTCTCGTTCCTTTCTTAGTTCGAAAGGGCTCGGTTCCGAAACGCTGCCCGCGAGAGGCGCGCTCGAGGAGCAGGGCGCCTGGTTCGGCGAGGGCGCCGTCGGCGCCGAGGACGCCGCGGCGCTGCGGGAGGAGATCCTGCGCGCGCACGGCGACCAGGGGGGGGGGGGTCCGTTAACTCGGAGGAGAACTCGGAGGAGGAGGAGGAGGAGGAGGAGGAGGAGGAGGAGGAGGAGGAGGAGGAGGAGGAGGAGGAGGAGGAGGAGGAGGAGGAGGAGGGGGAGGAGGAGGAGGAGGAGAGGGGAGGAGGAAGGAGGAGGAGGAGGGGGAGGAGGAGGAGGAGGAGGAGGAGGAGGAGGAGGAAGGAGGAGGGCCCTCACGGCCCTCGCGGCCTCCGGAAGGGGGGGGGGTTCGAGGTCGAAGGAGAACTCGGAGGAGGAGGAGGAGCCCCACCTCTGGCCACCCTCGGCCCCGCAGCTGTCTCGCTGCAGCTCCTCCCCCCCTTCCCCCTTCCCCCTTCCCACTCCACTCGAAGGAGAGAGAGAGAGAGAGAGCGCCATTCGCGCACGGGGTCCGAACTCGAAGGTGGTCGTTTTGTGATTCGTTGTCTTGCCGATCGGCGCGGGCCCTCGCACCCCCCCCTCCCCCCTGGAGTAGATCTTGGGTGCTTTTTGGCGCCTGTTTCGAGCGTGTGGGGTCTCTCCCAGAGGCAGTACTGCTGCAAACAGTCGCACTAAGCAGAGGTCCGGCGCCAGACCCCCCCCCTCCCCCCCTTCCGCCCAATGTCGAAACGCCGAATAAAACACGCTCACTAGAAGAACAAACATAAGCATAAACTTTTGGCGATCCGCGCGGATTGCTTGGATCCGCGCAGCCCCCCCCCCCCCGGCGGCGCCTCCAGCGCCGCCAGGGAGGGGGTCCAGCGCAGATCCAGGAAATCCGCGCGGAGCGTCACAAGTTTATGTTTGTGGCGCTTCTCTTGCTTCTACGAACGGGTACCCCTCGCCCAAGCCTGGAGGAACCGCAGACACGGCACGGTCGATTTCGCTTCGATTGGTCCGATTCGACATCGGCTTTGGCCAGCCCGATTCGATTCGACTCCGACTGTCGGGCGATCCGCTGCGGCCCGATGCTTGCACGGCGTTTTGTCATGCATCCTGGCGCCGCTGCTTCGGTTCGATTCCACCTCCGAGCCGATGCGGTTCGATCCTCCCCGTCCTCCTCCTCCTCTTCCTCCTCCTCCACCTCCTCATTATCCTCGCCCTCCTCCTCCTCCACCTCCTCATTATCCTCCCCCTCCTCCTTCTCCTCCTCCTCCTCCTCCTCCTCCTCCTCCTCCTCTCTTCCCCTCATCCCTCCGATCCGATCCGGTTCCACGATTCCATGCTGAGTGATCTTGCATGGGCTCAGGCGCGTGGATTGTCAGCGGGTGCCGCTTCCGTACGGAATCGGCTCGCTCCATCGCCAGAGGCGGCGGCATTGGCTTCTGGCGCCTGCGCGTCAGATCCACGGATCCTCAATCCATGCTGGCGTGCGCCCGAAATCTTACTCCGGGACCCCACCGTTGTGCCGTCAGGGCGAGGGCCCTCGTCGTGCGCAGGCGCTGGGCTGCTGACGCAGAGCGGGAACAAGCTGGCCGTGCGCGGGGCCGACGGCCACCGCGGGGGCGTGGTCATGGAGAAGCCGGGCATCCTCGAGGCCGACGTGATTGTGGACGGGGAGGAGGCGATGCCCCAAGTGCTCGAGCGCTGCCCCACGCTGGCGCGGCTGCTGCGGGGAGAGGCCCGGAGGCAGCAGAAGCACCTCGTCGACCATGTGGATGGCCTTTTCTCGAGGAGACGCAGACATGGATTCACGCGCGTGGTGTGGCGACGGGTTCCATCTCCACGCGAAGTCGGCGCGTTCCGTCGCCAGACGAGGCGGTGTTGGCCTCACGCGCCAGATCCGCAGATCTGTAGTCCATGTCAGCGTGTGCCCGCTCTTCCCCGCCTGTCCCCTTCCCCTCTTGCTCCTCGTCCCATCCTCCCAGCCCCTCTCCTCCCCCTCGTCATTTGCCTCCCCCTCGTCCTCCTCCCCCTCGTCGTCTCCCCCCCGCCCTCCTCGTCTTTCTCACCCTCGTCCTTCTCCTCCCCGTCCTTATCCTCGTCGTCCTCCTCCTCGTCTTTCTTCTCCCCGTCCTCCTCCCCCCGTTCTTCTCCTCCCCATCCTTCTCCTCCCCATCCTTCTCCGCCCCGTCACTCGAATACGTAGGATGCCCGGTTGCCGTCTGGGCGCGAGCGCGGGTGCGTCATCAATCACTCTTTGTTAGAGAGCGGAAGGCTCCGCACGTCTGATGGCCGCCATGCCAGGTCTCTCAGCGTATCCAGCCCCCGCAGTTCTAGTCGGCAGCGGAGATCGGAGCGACTCCAGCTCGCGTTCCACGGAAGCTGCGCAGAGTGCGATGTGCGGTGCCACACTACAGTCCAATCAGCACCCCTTCGGGGACTTCGCCCAACGCACCCACAGGTGTGATGAGGCAAACGCCAGACCGCAACCGCCCCTGTGAGTGCTTCGTCCCGTAGGAGATTCGATGCCCCGTTGGAAGTTCCAAACCACGGAGGCACTGTCATGATTCGATTCTCTCACCACACTTCCAATTTCCCGGCAGTGGCAGCGGAACGCAGTCCCCTGCGTTGTGCTGCATGACTAGGCCAATGCTCGGGTTCGGATTGTGCGCAGTGCTGCTGGCCTACATCCTGGTGGGCACGCTGCGCGTTCCGAGTGGCTCCAAGCTGCCCAACGTACCCGTTTCACCACCTTCGGGTGCCGCTGAGGGCCATGGCGCTACCACGAGTGTCCGAAGTGCCGAGATGGCGCTCGCCCCCGTGCAGGTCCGAGTCCCAAGGCGCCTACACGGGGGCGAACGCCATCTCGACATCGGGTGTGTCCGCAGGAGGATCTCCAACTTGGCACTACTGGGCAGTATCCTTATCCTCTCCGTGATCGCCTTGCCTTGGTTCGTCAGGACGATACATGCAGGAAGCGGTGGCAGAGATGGCGTCGCGGCCCGCCAGCCACCTTCAGGGTCACCTGAACGAGGGTCCGCCAAACCTCTCCGTCACTGGGTGCAGGACTTATTTCCGTGGCGCGTACTCGCCACATAAATGGACAGTGCTCAACGGCGTGCCGCCATCATTTTGAACTTTTGTGGCGCTGCTCGCGGACTTGTTTTGATCGTGTCATGAAATGCACGGATCCGACCTACGGCGGCTAGGTCCTTTACCATATCGCGAACCTCGCGACCCACATCGGACCACTAGGTGAAGAACCACGCCTGCCAAACACGGAGCTCT